AATGGGAGTCTATATATTGTTGTTTTCAGAAAGTTTGGGTAGTTTTTGTTGTGCGTTGATTTTAGATTTCATTTGTGTAATCATTTTACTTGTTCTAAGGCGGTATCTAAGAAGGCGGTGGTGCTACGGTTGTATCTTGCTCGAAGGTGGTAATTGTATCTTCCTTTTTATCTTCCCTACTCCATCTCCTACACTTCCCTTAGCCATCGGCTATCCCCAACCGCTTCATTATGCACTGCCAGCCTCATTTTTACTACAATAACTTGATGTCCATCTCTTTCCCCTCCACTTTTCCTAGTAGCCAGCCATCCCAATTGATGTCCTGCTGCTACCCACCTTCCCTCCAACCTCCACTGCCCTTGGGATACACTCTCGAGGTATCCGTTTGTGTTTTGGTGATGTTATTTTCAGTTTTTGTGTGTTGTAACTATATTTTCCTATTAATAAAAGTTGTTTTTGGTGCTTCAGGCTTTCTCCACTAATACCATTTGGTATCTGAGCTAGCCCAACCCTAATCCTATCATAAAGTTCTCTAACATCCGTCATAAACCAAAACTTTCTTTCCTACCACTAGATATCATTTCCACAACCCAAACCCTAACCCCTCCAAATTTTGTTTTCCTCTTCCTAAACCTTAGCAATGCCACTAATGAGATACATGCCCTATCCACTACCCGGGATGAGATAAGACGATAAATTCGACGACTTCGGTGGTAGGTGAAGTGATCTGAATGGTCAAAGGAAGAACGAGAAGATATGAAGATGAAACGAGAAAAACGGTGTCAGTTCCTACCAACTTACTAACGCCAAAAGTTGTTGACTCTAGCTTCCGAAGTAAAGAGACCGCAGCATCAAGAGACCCCCTGGCTACTATCCAGCGAAATCAATCCTCAAATATGTCACAGCTATAAAATGTGGCAAGTGCCATGGCTTTGAACATGTTGAGGCAGAATGCATGGGTGTGATCTACTTCACCGAGCAGGGCATTTTCGAATAGTTAGGTAAAGAAACCGCATACACTAAAGGCGGTAAGGACATAAACGAGTACGAGCTTCCAATCAAAGATGAATGGTGATCAGGAAGAAGATACACACTTCAAAGAGGATTCTCATTTTTCAACCAACGAGGAAGTGACACCACCAAATTAGTTGGCCCTGAGATAGAGAATCCAGTTGACATGACAAACACAGCTTTAGAAGGTAGTAACTCTAAGGTAATAGGAAGCCCAGCAGAGCCTGAGATTATGGTTCCTCGAGTACAAACTTTGAGAGGAACAACGACAGAGCCAACCTTTGGATGTCTACAAGGGTTATGAGTTTAAGGAGCTGACATCACATACAGGGCCACCACAGGTAAGGGAAATGCAGATATTTCACATTTATAGACTGCCTCCTGAGTTACCCATACGAAGGATGGTCCAACAAGTCCGAAGAGGAGTCATTTTGGGTCATGTTAGGAATATTGCGTGAATTTATTTAGAGGTTATTTCCTGTTCCGCATGGTGCCCCTCGCCAGATTATCAGACAGGAGAGATGAACCCCAACTTTGTAATTGTCTTGAGAAGCTCGATGAGGAAGAAAATTCTTCAATGAGAACTAATTTTTTTGTCACCAAAGATGTTTCGTCGAGTGAGTGTTAGCGATAGGGGTGTAGCCTTCCATAGATATCACCATAGATTTGACTTCTCCTTACATACTAGTTCATTAGATGCACTCAACCCACTATGAGCGGAAGAAGTGGGTTACAACTGAATTTGCTCGATACCTGAGTCGTGAGAAAACTAGTCTTCCTACAGTTCCAGCTCAGGACATGTCAAATATGGACGGTAACTATTCTCCCAGAGTGTGCTTTGCAAAGATAATGCCTATTGGCTCGACCTACTAGGAATACAATTGACCATCCATCCATCCCGAAAGATTACAGCAGCTCGCTCTCCGTCCTTGTGCCGACAAAAGCTTCGACAAATAAGGTTGAGTCCCCCGACCCCAAGAGACTGAAGCGGGTGTGAAGATTCCTGCGTGGACGGAACGCAAGTGCAAGAAGGCTCCCGCGCGAGCAAGAATAACAGACTGGCCCCGACCGATCCAATTGGAGACCAATCCAAGGGGCTCCCGAGCCGAGTGGCCCGAGCAAGCCTCCTTTGTCTGTCTTCCAGTTCTGCTTCTTCGTATGGAAGTATTTTAATGGATATTTATTGATTTTTTCATCTCCACATCTCCTCCTTTTGTGCAGGAAGTTTCCTTCTTTAGTTATTTTCTTTCCTACATCAATAGGAGTCTATATATTGTTGTTTTCAGAGAATTAGCGTAGTTTTTGTTGTGCGTTGATTTTAGATTTCCTGTGTGGAATCATTTTCCCTGTTCTAGGGCGGTATCCGAGAAGGAGGTGGTGCTTCGGTTATGTCATACTCCGAGGTGGTGATTGCATCTCCCCATTTATCTTCCCTACTCTATCTCTTCCACTTCCCTTAGCTGTTGGCTATCCCCAAGCGCTCCCCCTGCACTGCCAACTCCGTTTCTGTTATAGTAACTTGTTATCCAGCTCTTTCCCCTCCACTTTTCCTAGCAGCCAATCGTCCCAACTGTTGTCCGGCTGCTCACAGTTGCTACCCCACCTTCCCACCAACCTTCACTGCCCTTGGAATACTATCTTGAGGTGTCCGTTTTTGTTGTTTGTGTTTTGGTGATTTTATTTCCAGTTATGTGTGTTGTAACCCTTTTTCCTTTTAATAAAAATTTTTGTTGTGGTTTGGACTTTCTCCTCTAGTATGAAAGAATAAATAGACATCTTCTGAAAATCATTAGAGTTCTTCTTCTCTAAAATCAAGTTCCAAAAAAATTCAAGGAAAATAATTTTACAAATACTTAATAGAATAAAATACACTCAAATGTAATCAACTTCAAAAGAAACCTAAATTATGTTAATTTTTTCCTACAAACATTTTTTTTCTCAAAAAAACATCCAAAAAATTTTGATGCATCATATGATCATAACCACAAATAACATCGACATAAGTTTCATCCTAAAGCACTCAAATATGTCTATATAGGAAATTCTTCTACTCAAAAAAGCAATGTCTCATCATCCACCGACCAAAAAATTCTTCACATCAAAAAATGTCACATCTGAAGAAAGGCATTTTCTCCGATGAAACTCATATTGAACAGCCAACACAAAAATAAGTTCGATTCTCAAACATCGCAACCTAGCAAACACCAATCACTACACCCTTTCAAATCTATACAAAGAGAAATATGCCTAGCCAAAATCTCCAATATGCTCAAAGCTTGAAGCAGTCATCTGATAACAATGATCAACCAATCATGACACATTTACCACACATAAAACTTTCCTCGCAAACATAAGCTCCACCTCTATTAAAGTACTAACAATCTAATATGAGGCATTAGAAAATAATAGTTGAGGAACAAAAAGAAAAAAATATGCAATTAATTAATAATTAGATCTTTTTTTAATAAATATAGAACAGGTGGAAGCCTAGAGCAATACAAAACAAACTTAATTGCCAAAAGATATACTCAATCCTCTGAAGTTGGATATTAAAAAAAAAACATGTTGCAAAAATGAACACAATTTGTATTTTACTTTATCTTGCTACTAATTGTGGATAGTATGAGCAATAAAATGATATGAAGAATGCATTCTTTGAACGGGAATTGAAGTAGTTTATATACATCATCCCTCATGATTTGATAGTTCTTTCACAAAAAATAAAGTTTGCATATTGAGAAAAACACTTTATGGCCTAGAACAATCCCATGAACATAATTTGATAGATTTAAAAAAAAAATCAAAGAGATCATATATGATACTATTTTAGGGCTGCTAAAGGATGTGAGAGGACAAGAAAAAGAATCAGGGAAGTTATAGGATGGATAACCAGGGTAGAAGGGTGGATGGCGGTTGAATTCCAATGTGGATGGTGAAATGACAGCAAAACCTAATCAGAAAACTGTTGTTTTACTGCTGTCAAACCTCTTCCTAAGCAAGATACTGAGATACAACTTGCATAAGGAAGAGCATACAACTCCGGAAAGCATAATACAGTGAATTTTTTCTAACACAAAACAATAGTCAAAAGTTCCCTAAACAGCAAAAGAAAAAAAAGGTCTCTAATAGAAAATAACTATAAATAAAAATAAGAAAACATGAAATATATCATAAATGGCAAGTATCTCTGTCCAAAATTGCAAAAGAGCGGAAACTACTCATATGATCTTCCTGTGGTCGCGGAAACACCTATTTCCGCAATATTGCAGAAACCTGCAATTCGGAATCGCGAGATATGTGAGATCCCAGAATTCAGTGGAAGCTCCCGTGTCAATATCATCCCCATAAAACATTCCATTTACATAAAAATTATATTCTTATTGTGTTGATAATATATTAGGTACAAGAAATGGCAGTGAAGGAAAAGAAACACTCAGAAAAAATTTGCTGAAGTACTTGAAAGTAAGGAGGAAAAACTCAAATATTTTCTGCATATAAAGTCAATCGAAACAAAGAATCTTTTATCTCTCAGCATAAATATATTACGGCCATGTTAAAGTAAATAAATATAATTGATTGTAAATCATGTGGAACTCCAACCAAATTATGTCAGAAACTAGACACAGATGAAGGAATGAAAAAGTACATCGGGTAATATAAAAAATTAGTTGGAAAACTAGTACATGTACATAGCCATTGTAATGAGTCTAATAAGTCTGGCTAATCACAAACCCAAAGAACCTCAGCTTCAAGTTGCTCACAAAGTCCTTAAGTTATAGTGGACCATGCACAATAATAGAAAGTGAGAAATTTAAAAGAGCTGCTTGACACTAAAAAGCCTCCTTGACATTTGGGTGTATGAGAACGATGCGTGTAAAAACTAGCTTCCACCAGTCAATTTCAACATAACAATTTATTTAAGAAAAGATAATGCCACAAGATAAACATGGAAAGAGGACAAGCACACATTAAAAGTAATTTTAACTGACTTGTTTAAGCTTCCAGCCTTCAGTACTCCAGACCTAAGAAATCTGCACAGCAAGACCGAAAACTGAGAGACTTTTAGCAAAGAAATTCTATAATAAATTAAGTAAATACCTGTTACTAAAAAGATCCAACGAACCGGAGATCAACATGCGAGCATTATTTCTAGCCTGCATTGAAATTAGCTCTTTTTATAACAAGAGAGCTATAAGCATGCATCAAATATAAAATTTAATTTGGAAAATTGAGTTCCATTATGCCAAAAAGAAAGTGCTAGGATAGTATGGAAGCTCTCTAGTATATCAAATAGGTGATGGAATTTTGAGTATCATTAAAAAAAAAAGGTTAAAACAACACCTAAACATGAAATTTCAAAGACAAACGAAAGATTACCCTCAAGAAAAATCGATAAAAAGCAACATAAATAAATTAATTAATGATATTAGTTAGTTCAAGTAAGTTTTGTTGCATGTATGTTTCTATTTCAAAAACAAATAATTAAGATAGAAAACATGTTTGTCATGTTATTTTTTATTGAAACTGGAGTTGATCCAAACCACAATAGAAATGAAATTTCTTATTACTAAAATTCAAACAGTTACAAACAAGACACTTGAAAATAGGAAATAACGACAACAAACAAAAGATCACCAGGACAGAACAACAAGGACACAACAACACAGAGACCCCAACTAGGGCTAGGTCAAAGTGGTGATGGGGTAGCAGGGAGGAGGGGCTGGCTGAGAAGGTGCGATAGGAAGTAGGGGAAGTTTAGGGTGTTATGGCAGCAGTTTGAATGGTGGATTGGTGATACAGCAGCAAATAGGGGAAGTCAGGGGTGTGATGGCAGCAGGCTTTGTGGTGGAATGGAGGGAGGGGGGGGGTACGACAAATTTCTTTTAAATATAGGTTCTTTTAAATATAGGAAACTGGTTACAACATTCCAGCGGCTGGCTGAGGATTGGAGGAGTGTTGGGAGGTGAACGAGATGGGGTAGAGGGGAGTGAGAGAGATAGAAAGTAGAAGGGAGATGTGCATAAAGGCTATTGGCGAATGGGGGAAGGGCAGTAGCAAGGATGCACACCACCTCAAAACGAGTTATAGTCAAAGCACCTTCTTACATTCAAATATAGCCTTAGAAGGGAAAAGAGAACGTCGGCAGTGGTCCTGACAAAAATATCAACAAAAACTAACCCTAAACAGAGAATAACACATATATAATAGATAAATAGGATGGGGAGGGAGAAAGAGGCGTCAGCACTCCAACCCTAATTAGGGTCAGTCGGTTCAGCCTCCGTGTAGAACCGGCAACACCCTTGTTAAACCCTGGACTGGTTACGCCTTAGGAGCTCTGCGTCAGCCTCACAAGGTTGGGGGAGCTTCGACTTTATTCGTCGAAGCTTCCGGATCTTCGTATGCAGTCCTAGCAACACCTAAATCCCATTGTCGTTGTATTGCCTCCCAAAAGTATCGAAGAAGCTTTCTCCACTTGTGAGCATACATCTATCTCAATCCAACCTTCTGGAAGCTTAGCTAGGGCCTTTGTGCCACTCATATACAGCTGGATCCCCCCAATGTAACCCAAGCTTGACTCGGCCCAATCTAAAGTGAAGGCAACTTGAATCTCCCCACATGATGGTGGCCATGGCGGTATCGTATCGAACGTGATGTAATGAAATGCACTATGTCATGACTGTTATGTGTCTGAAGTTGATGTCTCAATCCTATCATCCCAAATTGTCACCAAAACCGGTCACACCGTTACTGTTATGCTTGCAAGGGCTTCTATGATCTCGGGCTTCGCCATATGAAGTAGGATGATGTGCTTCCCTTCCTTAGTGAAGGAGTAGGTATTTTTGAATCTGTCGTGTTAGGTCATATGGTTAAATTGTCACGGTCACCCCAACAAAATATGATAGGCATCCATGGGGATTAAGTCGCACCACACCTGATCCTACAGTTGGCTCCCAATAAAAAATTATACTAGGAACTTTCGGTCAATGCTCACCCTCTTTTCCTTCTTCAGCAACATCAAAGAACATGGTTGTGAGTGCTTGAGTCATGAGATCCAACTTCTCCACCATCTGTGTAGAAGTCATGTTTTTACTGCTTCCTCCATCGATGATGAAACTGCATACCTTCATGTTCACGATGGAACAAGTGTAGAATATATTGTGATAAAGCCACTATGAATCCCTCGTATCCTCGGTCTGTAGGACCTATCGAACCACGAGCGTCTCTCCTTCATGCGGTGGAAGATGATACACCTCAACTTGTTCCTCAATTGTCTCCTTATCGCTAAGCTCCCCCGCGGCGCCTTGCTCCGTAAAAGAGACAACTCAGCTCGTCGGGCGACTTGAGGCAAGGTGCCCAAATTTACGGCATTTAAAGCATTTCCTGACGAGGATTGTTAGGTGTGCTACTCTTCTCAGGCTTCTTTTTACTGAGGGTGGCTCTATCCTTATCTGAACCAGTTTTCTCAACTTCCTGAGGCGTGCTCCTGCTAGTGTCTCCAAATGTGGGTTGTTGTCTGACTAGTAATAGTTGTCAGCTATGTTTCTGCTATCTTTCCATTTTTAATGCTAGGGTTTGGACATCTTTAAATGACCAATAAGGTTGTAGATGCACCAGATTGCTAATAACGGGCTTGAGGCCCCCAAATTATGGGTTATGGAGTATTTCTCTGGCTCCACCAAATTGCACTTCATCTGCAACTAGTTAAACTGCGTCTGAACTAACTCACTGATAGGTTTCTCTATTGATGATGGTAGAATCTCATAAACATGTCATGGCGGTGATTGGATGGGTGTTATTTCCTCTGCATCGCTTTCACCATCTTTTCCCACCTGAAAATATTCTCACTGTCTTCTCTTTTTCTATGCCTATGCAAGTTATCCCACTACAGGGAGGCACTCTTTCTTAATTTGATAGTTGCAAGCTTCATTCTTTTATCTTTTGGAGTCTTTTTGTACAAAAAAAATCCTCTCAACTGATTGTAGTCATTCAATAAAGTCGTATGAATCCATACCTTCATCGAACGTCGGAAAATCCACCTATATTTTGAAGTCCCTGTGTCCTCCATATGTTGGCTCTTCTCTCGGCCTCCTCTGATACTGAATTACAAAATGTCGTGATCTGTATTTTGCATCACTAAAGTCCTCTATATGGAACGGATTCAGATCCTCTTCTCTTGCTTCCCTTCGACTCTCCAGATCCCGGTCGAGGATAATATCCCCCCAAGGTTTCACCCTCAATGTCCGCAAGCCTCCACTGAAATCGACGGATCTCCTGCTATTTCCTTCCTGGATAGGCTAAGGTATGTATCTTTTCGGTGGCATGGTTAAGGATTTGGGTTGAGTGGTGAAAAAGAGTATAGGAGACTAATCGACGATATCGAAAATTTAATTTAGGGTTGCTAGTTTTGAAAGTCAACGAAGGAAAATTAGTATTAGATCAAAATTCATTTATGATTTTGAGGAATATGAAAGAAATTTTTTTGTGGAGGGATAAGGTTGATACCAGTAAATCTTAAGAAAGGACTATGATTAGGCTAACTCAGATGTCAAATGATATCAAAGTTATCTCAAATCACAATAGAAATGAAATTCTTATTGCTTAAATTCAAACACTTACAACCAAGACTCTTGTAAACAAGAAATAACAACGACAAACACGACACCATGACATAACAACAAAGGACACAACACATAGACCCCAAGTAGGGCTAGGCTGAAGGTGGTGATGTGGTAGCAGAGAGGAGGGGCTAGTTGAAAAGGTGTGACAGCAAGTGGGGGAGGTTAGGGTGTTATGGTAGCATGTTGTATGGAGTGGATCGGTGATACGACAGCGAGTAGGGGAAGAAGACGAGAAACATATTATAACATTCTAGCAGGTAGCAAAGGGAAATTAGTGATCGGATGACTGCTAGGAGGTGGACAGCAGGGAGCAGAGGGGCGTGGGAGAGATGGACGACAGCAAGGAGATGCACAATAAAGCTGGAGGTGAGTGAGTGCAGGATGACGACAAGCAATAACAAGAAGACACACACCACCTCATGATGAGTTATAGCCGAAGCACCTTCTCACCATCGGATATAGTCCTAGAAAGAAAAAGAGGGCGTCAGCAGCTGCCCTAAACAGAGAACAACACACAACACACACACACACACATAAAAATATATATAGATAATAGATAAGTAGAGGGGGGGAGGGGGAAAGAGGCAGCAGCACTCCAGCGCTAATTAGGGTTGGTTGGTTCAGCCTCCTTACTAAACCGGAAACCTCTTTGTTGAACCCTAGACCTGTTCAGCCTTAGCAGCCCCACATCATTTATTTTATTATTTATTTTTGGAAACAAATTAATGTGTTCCCAAAGATTTTGAGACTACCATGAGGTATATTCACTTTTTCCAAAGAATATATTATGAAAATAGAGGGAAAAAACACACCCAAATGTGTTTCTATAAATAACCAAACCCAAAACAAATTGAAAACAAACATATAAATAACAAAAATAAAACAAAACATACTTTTGTTTGAAGCCTGGCTGTAAGGTACAATAAGGTTTGCATCCAAATCAAAAAATCTAGAATAGTTTCTAAATCTTGAGAATTTTTAGAGCATAGATCCTTGTAACTTCTCAAAAATGTATTGAAAAACATAATGAAGAACAAAGGAGTTTAGAACCTGCACAACGGACACTAATGCAATTGTGGAACCTGTGAGGGAAGAACTTGACAACTTAGTTCTTGGGTTTGCTGAATAAGCTGAAGGAGAAGCAGACAACACTTTCAAGGCCTGATTCAAATTAGAATATAATTTAAAATAAATAAAGGGAAAGAAAAATATTAATAATTATATGAAAAGAAAACTTTACCAAAGTACTGGCAGAATTTACAGAATGTCCAATTCCACGAAATAATACAGGAGCCTGTTCAAAAGTTAGAAGTTGTCAGTAATAATCACTATAGCGCAAAATGAAGTTATATGTTTAAGAAAAAAAACTTTTAAGGAGCACAAATTCCTACATGATTTCCTTAACAGTTATTTCATAAAAACAATCAAAAAAAATTCTAAACAAGAGGAAGGGTGTGGGGGAAGGGTCAAAAGGGCTAAAAATGCTTGGTGAAAAAATCAAATTTCATGATAAAATTTCAATAGTATGAGGTATGCTTGGAAAGTAAATTGTTCGCAGCTTGTTTTTAAAAGGTGTTCTAAAGAATGCCTAGCAATACTATGCCCAGGCCAAGTTCCAAATACAAATCAAGGTTAAAACAAGCTAGATGCAGCCTAGGTCAACCGTAATACATAATTTACCAGTCAGCTCTTACCCGAATAAAAAGGTGGAGTTATAGTCCATATTCTCATAATTAATGCATAAGAGAAGGTTGCATCCTTGATGGAGGTAGAGTGCAAAAAAAATAAACTAAATTTTTGGGAAATAAACCTTTGCACACAAATGCCCTTTCAAATAGCACAAATAAGAAGCAAGCCGAAGTGAAGAGGGAAAATTGGATGGGAAAGGTTATTCTTGTACTTGATGTGAGACTACTCAAGTACGCGAGATGAACAAGAAGCTCTAAAATAAATTTCCAAGCTAAAAAAGTTGATTTTGCAATCCATGCACAACCAACCAAAAATATCACTTCGTCCAATATAACAATTTAAGCAAGACTTCCGCCATTCAATTTAAAATCTCCACGAGTACGCAAGATAAGTTTTACTACAGCGTCTGCAAATTTAAATACCAACAATCCTAATAAAGCCTGCCAAATGAAAATCATAACAATAAAAAATACCTCACCCCTAAAAAATTGTCATACCTCAATGAATCTTCAATAGTCTATCAACGAATCTAGTTTATCCCAAAAATATTCGTTTAAATGAACCAATGCTCAGCAGAAAATTTCCATTTCCACACAAAAGTCGAGAACAAGATTTTTTTAAAGATAATGACAATGACCATGATAAGATTGCAAGAATGTGATGTGAACATCTATATGAAAATAACAAAAAACAATCCTCGATTATCAACTAATTATTGTAAACAACTTAAATCACATAAGCTCAAAACCATGTTTCACCAGGAGAGCTATATGGAGAAATTTGTTTTGCGTACCCCCAACAACTGGTGTTAATCCCTCAAGCACTCCCACATAGTAGAGCATCCACTTGCCAAAAATAGAAATGCACTCCCTGATGGCTTAAGTAAATGTTATTGGAACCAAATAAACCTTCAATAATTGATCAGTTGGCTTCTAACCCCAAAAGGGAATCACCAACCAATATCAATTAAAAATCCATCCAAAAATATATACAGTCTTTCTTCGGTACAACTACAAAGAACAGTTACATGACACATCATACCACCCTCATCGATCCAAGGCCTTCACCCACAATATTTTTAGAAAGAAATCAGCCAGTATATGAATGAAATGCACCAAATATATAGATGAAAAGGACAAAGTGCACAAATTTTGCTAATTGAGTCCAGCATTCAACAAACAAACAATATATATATATAATATATATATATATGTAAAGAAAATCGGTACTTGGCAGAGACCCAAATACCGATTTTCCATGCGCTAAGCCTCGTGATGAGAGCCCGCGTCATGTGCCTAAATATTTGAGAACCCAACGCCACTGAGGATTGAACCCGTGACCTGAGGTGACTTACAGTGAACCCCGCCAACCAACAAGCCACAGCTTGCGGCATATATATATAACATACATATTTACCTAACAACTAAAACCAAAGATTTACTATTCTACCGTCATCCGTTCTCCTCTGGTTTATCCCTCATCCCATTCTTGTGTGAAATCGCTACAGAGATTCTTTCTCTGAGTTCTCTCCAAGGACCTAGCTATTCCCGAGTTGTTCACCGCAACAAACCTTGAGTTCATCGGAAGAAGCCTTTCAGATATCCAAGGTTCTAAACAACTACATCTCAACTTCGAAGTATAATATCTCGAGTTATTTTTTGTGTGTGATGTGTTCTATGAGGGTGGTCTTTGTGAGATGATAGGTATTTTTGTGAAGATTATTTTTTTTGAATTGTTTATTTCTCTCTTTGAGCTGCAACATTTCCATCTTCTTGCTCGAGGCTTCCAGGCAAGCAGTAGATTTTGGGAAAATGTCATCTCTTTTTTATGAAAATATTTTGAAGAAATTAATGTAGATTTTTCTATTCATAATTCACCGTTCTTTCTTTTAAATCCATTCTATATCATGTAAAATCTCTCGGGCATCATATGCTTGCTATTGATTCTGCCTTCAATTACTTGTTTCTACTACAAAAAAGATCACGAAGATAAGGAGGGGATGGATAACACATGACTTCAAGAACTAGTAGAATGCATGAACAAGATTTATGCTGAGAAAAACCTCAAGAGTGATGATTGATGACACAAAGTACAATTAAGAAGAACCTCAAATGAAGCAAGCCCTATTCTTTCTCTTATGCCTGTTTATTTGTGCAATTAAACTCATAGAATCCCCCTTCTCTCCAAGGACCTGGCTATTCGCAAGTTGTCCACTGCATCCAACCTCATGTTCACTGGAATAATCCTTTCAGATACCCAACCAACTACATCTCCACTTCAAAGTAAAATATCATTTCAATTTTTCCATAGGGAATCTTTGAGCAGCTTCAACAGGCTGCAAATCTTTTCTTCTTGTTGTCGGAATGGATTGAAGCACAAAACTGAAGCAAGTTGGGGAGATAACCAAGCACAATGGAATCAAAGAAAGGGAGTGACAACAAGCTAGTCGGTGGAAGTACTTGAGCGAAGAAGCATCAAGGTACCTATGAGGAATCACGAGCTAAATGGGTTTCACGCAAGAACTAGATGAGAAGTAAACGGAAGGAAAATGAGAGCAAACAAAGTTGTGTAATTAAGCACAAAATGTTCATTTAGGTGGTGGAACAGTAAAAAATAGGTTTGAGATGTTGGATGCGTAAATCAGAATATTCCTTGTGGTATGTATGCAAATCCTCCATATATTATTCAACCAAAATTATTACATATAGAGAGATAAACAGCTAAACCACTTCTACGTTGTTTGGTTGCATCAATTGCCCATCGGTGTATATTTGATAAAAAAATATATGTGTCAAAGCAAAATGAGTTCCCTGGTGTTCCCAATGTATTAAAGCTCAAACTTTCTCTATTTACAATAATACTTGAATACAATATAGGTATATATGCATACCCCTCTTTTTCCTACTTCTAAAAATTTAGATCATGGGATTTCAAAACTCGTGATAAGCATCCCACAACATTGTTCTCCTCTCTGTACATCATTGCCAGTATCCATAAATGAGCTAGGCACTACTGTAAAAAATGTTGTTGGCTTCAGGCAAATGCCACCCATTGAACACATCACTCTCGCTATATTCTTCCTAAATCCTTCAGGTTATGCTGGGATTCAATTAGTTTGTTACAATGCATAGTTGAAAAATACAAAAAATGCCCGGCTAGCCTCCCACCTTGGTTCATAGTTACGTCAACACATCCATTAAGAATTCCAACATCCATTTTTTTAGCTATTCCTTCTCTCTATTTCATAATAACCGGTAACATGAACCATAGTTAAATAATAACATCAACTCTTTCAATTACGGGGGCAAAATTCTTTTCAAAGCTAGCTTCAAAGTTCATGTGAGTTGCCATATTAAAAATGGTTAGAAAATAGCTATGGAGGTTAATAGATTTAACGTTTGAAGTCTTACAAAGCATTTCCTAAGAAGGCCAAAGCCACCCATAAAGCATCTCCCGAGAATTCAAATTTGACCAATTAATTTGTACCTTAAGGGACCGTAAAGTTTTTAGAAATTAACATATGTTGATTAGTCCAAAGTGCTCCAGTCCAACAAATGTGACATTCGCATCCCATGTAATGTGGCAAGCCAAAAATATACCATAGCATAATCAAATTATGAGACTGACCCGACAGTGTGAGCCAACCCAACTTTTGTGTAATCCAATTCACATGCATTACATAAATATCATGAGTAGTGTGTATCACATAATAGCCTCAATTTTCCAATATCTAATTATTTTTATCTTCCAATGTACAACAATGAGAAATTGTATAATACATTTTACTCAAAGGCAAATATTAGAGATAACTAGATGAAATTATAGATATATTCCAATGAAAATCATGAAATTAAATAACATTTACTAGCTAGAAGTTGCATAATTAGTCAATAACATTACAATATCCAAATTGAAACCTTGGCACCTATAGTGAAGATCAATTTTTACCTAAACAAGGGACTACTATAACATGAAATAAATCTCTATTTAAATCTCTCAATTAATGCAGTACATGGACTATTGAGCTGTTAGAATAAACATATTTTTCTTTATGGCCATTGACAATGAAACAAACATCTTCAGACGGACAATTAACTCAATGAGAAATATTTTAAGATAACATTGATTACTGAAGTAGTCAATATTTCAAAGGTGAAATATGTTACATAAACAAGCCTCGGGGATAATAATACACCTAACTAGAATAAAAGCTCACCTCTATCACTTTCTCTCCCAAAATCACATCAGACTGTATAAAATCATGTATAAAATCATCCGCAGACTGTATAAAATCATCCGCAGCAATGAGCGTGTGTTCTCCATCAGTCTCCAAAACAGCATAACCAGCGTGATCGATAACAACGGCATCCGGATCCTACATCCAGCCAAATAAACCAATCAATAACGATGCAAACAACAAGCATATGCCCTACTAAACCTTGTTTATCCCGAGAATAACAACTCGCCTCGTCAAAATCTACACCGCACTCTGAGGCGATCGCCCTGATCAGGTCCGACGCGGAAGAGTCCGCAGCCAGGATCAGATCGTGCCCCGCATCAACGAAGTCCAGCACGGCGACCTGGTCAAGTGATCCCCCAAAACCTAACAAAGCTCAGGCAGATTGAGATCTCTAGTCAAATAAGATGTGCAACGATTCGGAACTGAAAAGTGTTAGGTTTTTTACGCTGGACGGAAGGAGAGAAAATGACGAGGCCGTCATACAGGTAGTGGCCGTATCTCTGGAGGGAAATCTTCGGATCGTCGGCGAGGCGGAATTCGAGAATAAAGCCCCGAGACTCGAGGGACTTGAAGAAGAGGGAATGAGATGAGCGGATGGCGAGGTCATCGACGAGGACAAGGAGACGGCGATTCGTAGGGTTTTCGGCGGAGAAGGACTCGCATACGAGTGGTAAAAGCAATAGAACGAATAGGAGGTGGAAAACCATTTTCGCCATTGCGGTGGAGTGAAGCTCGAGGAGGGGATCTAGCGCCCTACAGAGCTCGGTATTGCATGAATGAAGCGGCCCAAAAAATAATAAAATATTTACATGTTTTGCCATAGGCCATTTGTATTTACGGCTCTCAATTTCAAAAATATTATTCTAATTAACTTTAAGCAAATTTAAACATATTTTCATGCATAATTAATATATATATATACATATTAAATACATTAGTCCTTAAAAATTATGTGCCGTATATATAAATCTTTCATGAATAAAATAAATTTAGAACAACTTATTTTCATCCCTTTTTCATAATAATCAAATTTGAGCTCAAGCCTTTATTAGAATAAATATAAAATTTTATAATTGAACAAGAGGATGATCACTTAATTTCTAACAATATTTTGTTATTAAGTTATAAGTTATAGCGGGTAAACAAATTTCTTTTTTATTATTGCATCATGATAAGAAGTTGTGACCATAAACGGTGATTGAATAAAGTAGTTTAATCCGACGAATTAAGTTTTTTATATATTTGAAGGATGTTATGTGCATATCACCTAAGTAGTTTTACAATGATTTATATTTGATTTGAGATATATGATTGAAATCTTGATGAAAAGTACATGTATAATTATAACATCATGAGATGTGAGGCCGCAGCAATTTTGCATTTCTGCAACTATGATTCTTTGTTTCCACAATCTCAATAATTTTATTCATAGCTCCTTTTTTTATTTGGATAATTTTCTACAAGATTCATCTTTTATTTTTTTTTTAAAGGCTCTTTCTTGTTTTCTTTTTTTAAAAATTAGGTCATTTAGAACTTTTATATATATTGTAGTATGGTTGTTTGGATATTTAGTTTTGGATTTTGGGGTTGTTTGCTCAGTCAAATTACTGGTTTATTACATTCCAATTTTATGAATTTTGATAATTCAACTGTTTGTTCATGAGAAATTCAACTCAAATATAAAATTACATTGCATTTGAAATTCAGCCCTTTTTTTTTCTTTTTTCCAGGATTTGGAATTTGGTGGTTTTCTTCAATTTTAAAACAAGTTATTTAATGTAAAGTATCGCCGCCAACCTGTCCTGGTGCCTGTCTCAGCCTAACCTCGCCCTCGGCATCGGCCCGCTACAACCTCCCTCCATCACCGCCTCCAATGCATTAAATTTTATATTGAAATATATTATTATTTATTTTACGTCAAACCAAAAGAACAAAAAAAAATCGTATGTTTATTTTACAATGAATCAAACGACTCAAAAGTACTTTGAGTGCAATGCATTACTTTTGCATTATGTTTATTTTACATTAAGTTGTTTTTTTTGTCGGTCAAACGATCCCTTTTTGAATTGTGAGAGACTTCCCTTTGATTTTTGCTCTCTTTAGTGAGATGGCATATTCCTCATGCAAGTGGTGCATTTATAGCTTTTCTATAAACATGTAATGGATCCCCTGGTCAATTCGTCGTTCATGCATTGTTTTTAGTCTGGTTATCTCCACACTCGCACCCATCTATTGTTTAAAACAAAAAAAAATCATTATTTTCTAGCCCCTAGTTCAATATCCAACCACCATTTAGCTTGATTTTCAACTGTCATCCATCTTTCCTATCTCGTTACCCATCCTGCAACTTCCCCCAACAACTTCTACTATTTTATCACACCTTACTAGAGCCGTATAATAATGTCATTTTATGTCAGAGTCAATTGAAATCTCGGTTGGAAGAACGAAATGCTATATCGCTGATAAGAAACTTTAACTAGGTGCAAAAAAATTAATGTGGAGATCATCCAATAATAGTGGAAGCTTGCTTGGTTTAAAAGAATGTAACATGAGAAGGTCACCGCGGTGACAATGATGGCTACCAAGATGAAGGAAATGAAAAAAATCCCTTCCAATAAGAAGCTTCGGATGACAAAAAGCTAATGGCACGTCGATTTGACATTGAGTATTAAGAGGACTGAGGGTGATTTCGATTAAATTTAGATCTATCATATTTTGACGGTTGCCTATATTCATGCAAGTTCACAAAGTAGTTTCAGACGATGAATGTGTCTTCGAATATAATTATGTTTCACGTGATATGAATATAAAGCTAGTCATCAATAAGTTAAAGAATGGTGCATATTTATGCTGTGAAATATTGAAATGTTTGTGCCAAAGAAAAACAAAAGTCAAAATCACGTCTGACCAAGAATGAAAATGTGATGCAACCTAAGTGTAAATCAATACATTATCAATAATATATAATCTCAAGGTTTTAGCACTACAGTACATATATCTCTTAATAAAATAATACACCGCTAAGTTCGAGCAACTTATGTTTGAGTGATAATTAGTGGAGCGTCGTGAAACCACCATGGCCCAGTATCTAAGAGAATTTAAATTTTTTTTGATAATGTGATGTAGTTCTACTCTTATTGGACCTTACGAGATGTTTAGACTTTAGTCGTGCTTATGGAGATACAATACCGCAGCATTAGGTTTGCACCACCTTCCAAACTAGATTTTGGCCTTCAAAACAAGTAACAAGTTCTCACTGACCAGAGTACTAGGACCTATCCCTCGTGAAGATAAGCTGACTTGGGATAAAAAATTGTCTAACCAGACCAGACTAGCACTCTTAAGTTACATCTAACGAATAGATGTTTAAAGTGTCATGGATACAGGTACATTATATCCATTTGTCCAAACATAAGGGTGATGTCTTTTATTGAGCAAGGTGCAATGGAGGAGGCGGAGAGTGAAGAACAAGAGAAGGAGATTGGAGATGAGTACCCATTACCTGTACATCATGATGGGATGCATGCGGTTCGATCAAGCCTTTAGATCGAGCAAAAGTGATATCAACAATGATTCCGTCATAACATATTTTTTAGTTGTTATACTATAAATGGAAATATGTGTAGCCCCCATTATATATGGAGGCAATTGTAAACATGCTCTTTATCTTGTGTTCAAGAGTCACACATATCATAATCATTTGGTGATACTGACTCTCCCTGTCCTCAAGCAATGCCCACATGCTTCGGGAGGAACAATCGATCAATTTTCATCAACAATATCAATCGTGGAAAGTCATTGTTGTAACCACAATATTCGCATGTTTCTCAAATGGATTTGCAAACGTATCTCATGATATAAATATGACGTTGAGTTTGTTTAAATAATATATCAAAGAAGTTCAATGAAGTGACGGCGTAAAAATTACACTCGGACATCACGATTGTTATAAAAAAAAAATTATGTAATCAACTCTATGCTCCAGTGACAAAAAAAAAACTCTTTGTTGGATCTTCCAACAGTTTTATGACATACAAACACAAAAATATGTCTTAGTAAATTTTTAAAATTTCCCTTAACTGTTTCGTTACTTTTAGAATAGCTAGCGCTGGTGCAATTGATGTGTTAGACTCGAAGGGCATATTATTGCTTACATAAACAAGTTGAGAAATATGATTTTGAAAAAATATAATACCATTTGTTTCTTTCTTTCGCTCTTAGGTGTCAATGATGGTTTCCATTTTTTACGAGTGGATTGTTAGGGCGTTCTTCTGCAGGGAGCCATGCCTATTTTAATACACACACACAGATACCGCTATGGGGAAGCAAGTAATGATTTCTGACTCTTTTGCTTGCAGGTGCTATTAGCACTCCCCACTTTTAAGGCACGACTCATGATACATTATGTGCATGTGAGTTTTCCCGCTGAAATTTGTTTTCGTGCAGGATTGAGTTTTTTTTTCTTTTCTCTATGTACTCCTTTTCTCGATGTATTTTTTTCTTTTCCTTTTCTCGATGTATTTTTTTAGAGTTTAGGAGAGTCTTGTAGTATAAATAAGATACGTGCACGGGTTCCGAGACGTTAGCACGGGAACCACGTGGAGGGGACCAGCATGATAGATGTTGGGTAACTGCTTCGCCGGGGCGGCCGAACGAAGCAAAGTGAGGTGCTCGTAGGGCCGGGGCTGCCGAACGAAGCAAAGTGTAATGCTCGTCGGACCGGGACGGCGAGACGAGGTGAAGTGAGGTAAGGTGACATACAAAATGCAACATGCAAACATGTTTGCATTTTTGTATGTTGTAGCGCATATGCATGAATATATTATTGCATCTTGCATTGTATCTATATGTTTGCATGATCATGATAATCATGGTCTATTTGAATTGCATTTTCTGGGTCACTGCTTCGCCGGTATGACTGTGCTAAAGATCTAATGGATCTAACTTCGTCAGCTATATTAACGGTTCAAATGCTGTACAGATTCGTGTACGTTAATGTTTTCAAATTTCTGATATAAAGACCCCGTCAAAGTCATGCTATGTTTGCATGATCATGATAGATATTGTCTATTTGAATTGCATTTTCTGGGTCACTGCTTCGCCGGTATTTTTATGACAATAAGAATGGATTCTTCACTCTAGTCAGCTTTGTGCTCGTTATCCACAGGTTCAGATACATCGATGCCTGGTTTTTTTTACTCGGAGTCCATCATGATCATCGGTGTTAACGACTCCTTCAAACATTTAATTTGGCTTCTCTTATAATTATGAGTCAATGCCCCATAAATTTTAATTTTCTCACATTTGACATGACTTACAAGTGACATATAATATATATATATATATGGAATGATTTAACATAAGCATGTGAAATAGTCTAACTGGAAAACACCTTCTAATTTTTCCTTTCACCACTGTTCAAATGCATAATGATTTGTGTAATCCCAACCAAGGCCTCTAGATCAACCCTTTAAATATTTTCATGACTTATAATCTTCTTTAATTGATTATGTTTAATCTTCAATTGCATTCTATCATACTTTTCTTCTTGTTATATTTTTTAATTTTTTTATGGTGTGTCGTCATCCTTTTTTATTGAAAAATGTCATAGACATATATTCCAATTAATTTTTTTTAAACATATATCACAAAATATTATCTTTATGTCTCTTTATCGTAGTGCATAAGCTATACTTCTATTGTCTTGCCCATTTAAACCTTTAATTTTGATGAAAAAAGTTTATGTGACCTAATATACATATTTTATAGAAGAAGTGGATATACGAGAGAAAGTGAATCTTGAATAAAATTTTTATATCAAATCCCAAATTATTGTTAATTAGATCAAACTCATTATTAGAGAGTTATACATGCTTGCATCCTATATCAATTAATATCATTGAATGCCACCAACTACTTAATAAAGGAGATAATGAAAAGATATTGCATATATTTTAATGATTTACCAAACAAAATAAGCCACGTATGTATTTAACAGTAAACCTTAGAAGAAAATCACGAGAGCAGACATCCATATCAGATTGAAACAAAAGAAATTAAAATTGTATGACATATATGTTGATTACTCCTTACATTAATTTGAAATAATGTAACATATGTACTGATTACTATCATACAAACATCACCACATCTTCAACAATTTCACACTAATCCCAAATTTCTATAATATTCCACCATCATACCATAAAAATATAGTAGGCTAAAAGTTCATACAACTAACATACACCAATACCAATCCTACAAATTCAACTAGCATGCATCAACCCCACATATAGTAATTTTATCAAACAAGCTTTATTTTGGTAGATAACACCCAATTTTAATGAATTTACATATCTTAAACCCGATCTTTCATATTTATGTACATATCATAGATTATGTAATACCATATCAAAATGAAACCATTAACTCATAAATCATCAAAATAAAATAATGCAAAATCAATAATATATGTTCAAATGCAGATACCATCATCCTCTAAACTTTTAAATTTATGCATATAATAGAATACAACCATCATTAAATCCCCATATAAAATGAGCATAAAGAGATTCAAACCCTCAAAGAACAATAAAATATCTTCCCACATAAATCTACCCATATATTATTCAAACATAAATAAATCAATACCCCGACTGAAGAAACACTAACATACACGTGTGGAGAGATCAAAATCTCACAAAGAACATAAAAAATAAAATAAAAATGCGCAGAGAGATCCAAACTTCTAAATACAAACTTGTATAAGCAAGGACAAACACATACATGCAAAAGACTAGATGTCGTCCGTAGCAATAAAAAAAATTGAACGAAAATAACCCATGAAAATTAGGACAGAGGTCAAAGGTATTTCAAAAAAAAACAAAGCAAATAGGAAAAAAAATAGAGTAACTAAGAGCGAAAGTATATCTCCCTGGATCCCTCTCATTCACGCATAGAGTAACTAGAGAGGCTAGGACCCATCAAAATAAGGGAGATCGAAGCGGGGAGAGAGCTTCTAGTGAGGGGATAGACTCCATCGACAAAAACGGCATTAATACATTTAAGATTGATAGTATTTATTGTAATTTTGACGTTAAATTTTAAACCGTAAATCCTAAAACCTATGATATTATTACATCACAGTATCATCAATATTATTATAAAAAACTGTGAATGCTATCAAAATAGACTACATCTGAGGCAGCACATTCTCCCGTGGGAGCAGCGCCGAATGCAGACCAAGTCCTGTGGTTTCTCGTGCCCTTAATCGAGCGCCACGACCTCTCCGCTTCTGCTTACCGTCCGCTCTGGATGCCTTCACCCCATCACCGCCTCCTTTTCAGAATCTTCAGCTCACTCCCCTCCCTTAATACCTCGCCATCCTCCTTCCTCTTCCCCAGTCGTCTCCATTTTCGCGTACCAACTCCTCTCCATCTGGCCACATCTACTTCATCTCCTTGCTTCATTTCCTCCATCAGAACGAACGACATGCCTTTCAAGCACCGCGTAATCCACCAGTTTTCAACAATGTCTCAATTTCATCCCTCTGATTCTAACTCTTGCCGTCTAATTCTCTTTCAGGGCGGCCACGCGGCAGGGGAACGGCGGCACTGGAAAGAGAAACCTCGTGCTGTCTCCGTCAGCAACGTTACGGAAAATATCGGCAACCTGAGAATCGCCGATCACTCGGGTCCTAATAACAAGGGTACCGGTGCTAGCGGTAGCTCTTCTGCGTTGCAGTTTGGGACGAGGTCGGCGATGCCTGCCAATTCGATCGCAAAGGGACGGCAACATGCTGTTTGGTTGCCGAAGACTTACGCGACAGCGTCGGAGGTTGTGGCATCCGCTGCGCCTTCTGCGGCGCCTTTGAGTACGGAGAAGGAAACTGAGGTGGGTTCTGCGGGGAGTTTGTCTAGGTTGTTTCAAGGCCAGTTGGATGAAAACTTTGTGATCGACAACAATACGTTCTCCAGGTCTCAGATACGGGCGACGTTCTATCCAAAATTTGAGAATGAGAAGTCGGATCAAGAGGTATGCTATTTTTTGCGGCTAGAGGGCCTCATTGCCGAGAGTTATTTTTTATTTATATTCTCAATGGTCTTCTAGTCCTCATGCATTTTTTTTCAACCCGTGTTGCTATCAAGATGTAATGATGAATTTATGTTGAGAAAATTAGGATGAAGAAAAAACAAGAACGACACAAATCTAGAAGAACACACAAAGATTTAACGAGGTTCGACAAAGATGCTTACATCATCGGGAGAAGAGCGACGACTTCCTTTTCAATATTCAGAAAAAAATACAAAATATAATATTCAACTCTCTCAAAGATCTAGGATTACAAACAATTCTATTTATATTACCAGAGTAAACCCTACAGTACAATATGTAATTCCCAAATTACCCGTGTACCGTATAGCGGGGCGTTGACCTAACACCCCTATCCCACATAACGTAACTTCCCGATTTGAAAAAATTTTTCCGCTCCGCTCCGCTTTGTTCCAGCATCTGTCACTATATGATATATGAGCCATACCATAACAAAAATCTACCTTGGCGAATATCCAACCCATTAGTAGAAAAAAATACCTGGGAGTTACACCTGCACAAATGTGGGTTGGGCCACCATGCTTCTATTGCGCCCACGCTGATCTCAACCCACTAAGTTCCAAGAGACACACCTTTTCAATTCCAAGAGACATCTCTTCATTCCAAGAGTCTCCAAATTCTGGTATTATGAGTCATACCTAATAATTTTCCACCTTGGCGAATATCCAACCCTTTAGGAGAATATCTCCACCTTGTGAATATTCAATCCTTTAGGAGAAAAAATCTCCACATTGCGAATATCCTACCATTTAGGAGAAAATCTCTACATTGCGAATATACAGCCCCTTAGGAGAAATATCTCCACCTTGTGAATATCCTGCCCCTTAGGAGAAAATCTTCACCTTGCGATATCCAACCCCTTGGGAGAAATATATCATGAAGTTTCTTATGCACAAATGTGGGTTGAAGCACTTTTCTTGTTCGCGCCAGCACCTCGGCTAAACTGCTGGCCCGTGAGCGAAACCTTTTGCGAAATACCTCTGCAAAACCACTGTTCGCGAATAATCGCGCCTGCTCGCTTGCCAACACCTTACCGAATTCCATCTATCGCAAACTCCACCTTTCACAACTCCTCCTGCGACGAACTTGCAAACTCCGCTGGTCGAACACCACCAAACTCCTTTGTTCGCAAAAGCTCCAGTGTCGCAATAGAGGCGGCGTCGCGACTTCGAGGCGCAACAGTTCATGAACCTTCGTGACATTAGGCGAGTTTGAAGCCGACTTATCTATATGTACTGGAGTATGCGGTTTGAAGCCGACTTTTAAATTCTGATGCCATTTGGAGGCAAAAGGATTATTCAGTAGTATCAAAGTGACCTGCTATTGTTACTCAGGGCAACTTATCATTTCTAAGCTGTTGCTAAATGTCACAGGCCTATATTTTGATTGAAATAGTTTCTTACTATTCAAGAAATAGCTTTTTTGTCTAGCTGATGTTTTGATATTTCTTCATATCAATCTCCTCTATGTGATATGGCAGATAAGAAGTCAAAGTGACTTTGAATAACAGGCGGTCATAGTGATTTTTGCTAGTGATTTCTTTTATAATTCAACATCACGAGTTATCATTCTTGACCTTAGAATTGGAATTAACATTGTCCCTAAATTTGTCATTAGAATTAATGGATTTCTTTCCTGGGAATATGGTTAGGTTTTCTTTGCCTCTTTAATATAGATCATGTGAAGCACAAAAAGGGTAAGATTGTGTATATTGTCCCTCAAACACTACGTTTGGCAAGAAGCCTCATATATTGGGTACACAATTCTATTCCATAGTTTTTTCTTTTCATTTTTTTTTAATTGGCAGAGCTCTTGTTCATGCCATTGTTCACAACTGTTCAAACAAACTTGTCCTTACAATGTGTGCATCACTATATTCTTTGATTTCTTTCCAAATGTTTCCTGATTTTTTTTTAAATGTCTTAATGCATTCTTTTCACAGACATTGTTGGCATACAGTTTGTAATATTCTGCTTTTTTTATTTGATATTTTGTATTGACATGCATTGCTTAGTGTTTGTAATTTGAACCCTTTCCTGCAGATTAGGGCAAAAATGATAGATATGGTAACCCATGGCATAGCTACGGTAGAGGTAACCATGTTCTTCCTCAAATTCTTACATGCAATCTCGTGCTTATAACAATTTATTGTTCATTGTCAAAGGTTTATTGCATTTTATTGTTCAAAGAGTCTCAAACAGTTTATAAGTCCACATGTTCTCTCATGTTGATTTAAGTTCAGTGATTCTGCACGAGTTAATTGATGATCTTTGAGATTTAACAGCTATCTAAAACAGGCGCTAGATCCATGGGACAGAAGGACCCTTTCCCTATCCTAAATTTTATTTTAAAGTGACATTTACATCCATAGCACACAGTTCTTATATATTTACATATCTCACACCCAAACTCTCATATTTACACATATAATACTCAAATCTTTTTTATCACGTAAAAAATAGCACTATTAGACTTTTTAAAAGTGAAATACACCTTGTCATGCATATAGGTTTAAAGCACTGAAGTGCCATGTATGTAAATATGAAAGTTTAGATGTGAGATATGTAAATACATAAGAATTGTGTGCTTTTAAAATGATTTCGTAAGTGAGAAGTATCATCTAATTTGTTTCAGGTATCACTTAAGCACTCGGGATCTCTATTTATGTATGCTGGTCATCTGGGTGGAGCATATGCAAAAAATAGCTTTGGAAACATGTATGATGGCAGGATTTGTTTGTTCCACTATAATTTTTGCTGCAGTGCAAATCAAAATCATCAACTTGGTATGCTTTATTTGATACAGATACACTGCAGTTGGTGTTTTTGTGCTGGCTCGGACATTCCAAGAGGCATGGGGTACTATGGCAATAAAAAAACAAGCAGAGTTTAATGATTTTTTAGAGGTATTTGTATTTTCTAATTTTAAATTGTTTTTCCTCCATGGAAGTTAGTGACAGGCAAAAGAATATCTTATGTTAGGCTTAAACTTATTCTTAGCGCTCCCACAATGCAGTTCATTATAGTTTATATTTATTGTATAGATTGAAACCAATTAATAAGTTCTATTTATGTTGATACATTTGATGCATATTTCATCTTTTTAACTTCACTAAATTGTGAGCTTGATGATGCGGGCATCCGATTTGGTTTTTCTTTTGTTTGGGTTTGGGAGGGGGAGG